CCTGCTGTGTTCATCCAGCTCTACACCTTTTTTACTCAGAAAGTGGTTTGTGTGTGGACTGAATTTCCAGAGGAAGTGATGGATGCAGGTACAGTTACAACATTTAAAAGACATTTGGATAAGTTCATGAATAAGAAATGTTTGGAGGGATATGGGCCAAGCGCAGGCAGGCGGGACTAGTTTAGTTTGGGAACATGGTGGGACCAAAGAGTCTGGTTCTCTGCTGTATAAATATAAAATTCCTTTGAACAGTTTCAAATTTGATTCTAACCTTAAAGTTTCTGATATAATGGGATACAAAGACTGCGATTGTCAGGAAGTGATTGAACCCAGGTGGATCTGAGTTCCTTCCAGACCACTTCAGCCATTGATTTGTGTGTATTGTCTGGTGTGTCCCCACTGTTTGAGTTCTGACACATACCGCATTATCCAGTTAACAGTAAGGGTCTAAGAGATGGATGGGCTTCAGTGGAGGGGGAGTACACAAGGTAAAATTCAACTCAGGGTCCTCATTCTGAACCCTGACCACCGTCTCCTGCTGAACAGCAGAGCCCTGCATCGCCTCCCAGATCCTGCACTGTAATGTCACTGGTACGTTAGGCAAGTTCTCAAAAATGAGCATCATTTTTGAGCTGCTGAGCAGTTACAGCAGGAGGTCCAGGCAAGTGTCTGTGAACATCTGGTTAAGGAAAGGGGATGCATTTAGCGAAGATGATGGCTTGGATATACGCTCACCACTTTAATGATCTAGCGACCCAGGTTAATATTCTGAGGCTCTGCGTTCAAATCCTACAATAACAGTTGATAGAATTTTAGTCCAATTCGTTAAACCCTGAAATTTAAAGCTAGTGGATGGCAGGCTATTGCCAATTTTGTTTAAAACCCATCCAGCTCAGTAATGTCATTTAGGGAAGGGAAATCTGTCATCTTTGTCTGGCCTATACGTGACTCCAAACACAAAGCAAAATGGTTAACTCTTAACTGCTCTCTGAGTGATGGGCACCAAATGCTGGACTAGCCAGCGATGCCCATATCCCATGAAAGAACTAGAAGAAAAATCACGATATCCTCCTCTACAGTAACTTCTTGCATTTATAGATATTGTTGATCAAGCGTTTTGGATGTGTACACCTCAGGTAGGATTTGAAACCAGGTCCTTTACCTCAGAGTCGAGGACACTACCATTGCACCATAAGAGCCAAAATTATATACTTTACATCACGGGTGTCACACTTCCAGAGCAGGTGGGGATTAAATCTGGATCTTCTGGCCTAGAGGTAGGGATATAACCACTGTGTTACAAAATCCCTTTAATTTTCAGAGTAAGGCTTGAACCCATGACCTTTTAAAATCAGAAGTAAGAATGCTAACCATTGAGCCATGGCTAAGCTGCTTGCAATTATGTAGTGCCTTTAACACAATAGAAGGTTCCAATGTGTTTTGCCTGACTATTAGCAAACAAGATTTGACAGTGAGCCAAATATGTAGATATCAGGTGACCAATAACCAATAAGAGGGTTTCAGAGAGTGGCTTCTAAAGGGAAAGAGGAGTAGAAATCTAATGAAGTATTTCAGTGCTCAGGCAGCTTAGGCCATCACTGCCAGTGATGGGACGATGAAGTTTGGGAATGCTGAAGAGGGCAAAAATGGAGAGGTACAGAATTTTGGTGGGCATTCTAGGATCAGATGTGGTTTCAAAGATAGGGAGGGGCATGGCCAGGGAGAGTTGTGCAAACAAGCACGAGAGTATTAACACTAAGTCCTTGCCTGACCTCAATTGAAGGTTCCTCACACAAATAGTCTTCCCAGTTAAGAGATTGTATGGGGTGTCTGGAGGACAGTCAGTGATATAGAATCCAAACCTACATTGCCTGTGAGGATGAGGAGGAAAAGAAATCAATCTGACCAAAGATATGAAGAAGATTTCTAACTGTTACGAAGTTGGGTAGAGTATTCATGAATTGGAAGGCAGGAAGTTGGAATTTGTTGGGCAAAGAGTGCTGTGGTCCCTTTAAGAAGTTGTGCTTTGTCTATGTTTGAAAGTTTATAAATGCAGGTGTACAGAGAGTGCCTGAATGGAAACATTTTGTATAGAACAGCCAAGCAACACTGTTTCCAAGACAAGTATGAATTTGACCAATTAATTTAAACAAAACACCTAGATACAGAAAGCCAATTGAATTGAAATCTGATGGTGTTGACAACTTGAAACCAATCGTATTATAAGAATTTGATTATGTCATTACGGGTATATAAGACGAGGGCATTTGGAAAATCAGAGAGAGAGCCAATTGCCATCTGAAAGAGAGAACTAGTTGCCATCTGCCAGAGTTGGCACCATTCATTTTTCAGAGAAAGCCCATCTAATTAATCAAAGGTAGGTACCATGGTATTTTAGCTCAAAGTCTTCATTGAAAAAATTATAGAGATAAAATATCCCTGACAGCAGAATTAATGGAAGAAAGGTGCTTGTAAAGAGACTGGAGATGGCAGAATATTCCAGAAGACGGTCTGTGTGAACTTGGAGAGATTAAGTTATAATTTATTGTTTTTTGTCAATTGGGTTTATATTAGTGGGACTTGTCTTTATTTAAACAGCATTCCAGTAGAATTTAGATCAGTTAGGGAGTAGTTAGTAGTCTCAGGGGGAATTGTTGGTTTGTTAGCAATGTTGTTAACTTGGTCATTGTTGGGTTAAATAAATTAATTGTTTTTTTATAAAGTGGACATCAGGGATTTTCTTTCTCTTATCTACTCTTTTAATAGATTGCAAGGGTAAAGATGAGCTTCTCTGGGTGTTTTTGAAGGTAATTATTAGAGGGGAACCCCTATTCCTGTAATAACAGATTGGGGCTTGTGCTTTAGTTTAATTATCAAAAGGGTTCGGCCTTTCCCCATCATAACACAGTTTCTTCCTCTGTTCTTTGCAGACCATTTCTTCACTGGTGATGGAGCATACAGATCTGAAGAGGGATATTACCAGATCACAGGCAGGTTGGATGATGTTATCAACATCAGTGGCCATAGGCTGGGCACTGCTGAAATTGAAGGTGCAGTGGTAAGTGAAATGAAAGAACTAAAGCTGCTCCTATAGATCATTTCTTTAATCCCCAGCAGGTGAGTTCTATTGAAGCCAGCATTTCAATATCTGTGGGTGCTCTGAGCGATGGTGGTGATGACAAGCCTACTTGATATTTGCTTACTTTGACCACTTCATGGGAATTTGAGAGTTAACCCACAGTGATTGATGAGAGGCAGTAAATCTCATAGAAACGAGGTCAAGGACATGGGTGAACCAGTTGAGTTTTTACAACATTCCATGGTCATGTTTATTGATATCATTATTTGTATTGGCATCTCTGTTTCTGTTTAAATGGAATCTACATTAAAAATCGGGCATGGTGGAAATTGAAGTCATAGTTGCTACATTTCAGTATGAGCTGGTGACACACTTCCATTCTTGTTGGGGTCTCATTGGTGGGATTTTATAAATTCTTCTGGTAAGTGTTTAGACATTGGACAAATAAAAGGGTAAGGAGAGAAGGCAGGAATACGTCATGGAGTTAGAGGATCAGCCATGATCATATGGAATGGTGCAGCACAATTGATGGGCTGAATGGCCTACTCTTGTTCCTGTGTTTCTATTGCTAATATCCAGGCCACATGTAGTACAGATCATCCCCAGAGCAAAGCTCTCTTTGCTTTTTTCCTAACAGAGGCTCTTTAAATTTAACATAATTGGACCCATTTGTTGGGTCTGGAATTGCTTCTTTGCTCACCACTTTAGCAGGGAAGAGGCCTGTACTCAATCGGTGCTGACACTCCCGCCATCGCTAGGTTAGGACCTTTTTATAGCTGACCCCAGAGACTGCCTGTAATGAGCAGCAGCCTCCTGTTAAAATTGAGCTGTGGCTCTTCAGTGCCCAGTTCAGAGTGGGATTACTAAACTTCTTCAGCCTAGATGGTGCTTGCATTAACCATCTCTGATTGACATCAGAGTCTGAGCTGCCTGAGCTAGAAGCCTGTTTTCATCTGCCAAGCAAATTAAAATCACTGACCGTAAGATCTCTTTGAACTTTCAGAACCAACACCAAGCTGTGGCCGAATCTGCAGCCATTGGATGTGCCCATGAGGTCAAAGGGGAAGGTAAGGACAGCAAAGAGAACATTCTGGTTTCTATGAAGAAGCAGAAACAGGATAAATAGCTAAGCTGAGTGATGGCTGCAGGCACTTTTGCTGCCAAAATTCACTTGTGTGTCAGACCTGAAGCCCCGGGTCCTCAGGGAAAGGAGTAATGTTGGAATGAGACAAACAAGGAACCAGTGACCCACGCAATGCTTCCCTCTCTCAAACCCATATGCCTTCTCAATCAGGCTTGGATTAGGTTTACGTTTTGAGCGTTTCAGCCACTGTGGGGAAGATCAGTGCTTGGACTATAAGTGAAAAACCAAATACTCTTGCTTCTTTTCTCAGGGTCCTACGTCTTCATTGTTCTGAAAGATGGGATGGTCATTGCTGAGGACGTCTTTGATAAGGAACTCAAAGACATTGTGTCCCAAAAGATAGCCAAATACGCTGCTCCTGATCAAATCCAGGTAGTGATCTGATGTCAATCCCTGCTTTCTTGTGTCTGTTGTGTATTGTGGACAGGATTGGTGCTAACTCCAGAAAGCCACCTGCCCAAAATGTTCATAATCAGTGGGACTATCCATGTAAAATACCCATGGGATAGAACAACAGGAGCTCAGCAGTCTGATAGGATCATGCATTGGCTTTCCAGTGCTTTGCACCATGGAGTATGAGGGTCTAAGTTGATGCTTCAGTTTCTTGCAAGTAGAGCTTAAAATATGGTAATGTCACATGGACAGATATAAAGGTTTAAAGGATTGTACAGTACGATGGATGAAATTGCCTTTTGTCAGTGATGTCAGCTCCAGGATATCTCTGCAGGAGTTCCATGGGGTACTGTACTAGGCCCAACCATCTTCAGCTGCTTCATCAATGGCCTTCCCTCCATCATAAGGTCAGAACTGAGGATGATTGCTGATGATTGGTGTTCCGCTCCATTCAGAATTCCTCAGATGGTGAAGCGATCGATGTTCACACACAGAAAGGCCCAGAAAACATCCAGGTTTGTGATAACTGGCAAGCAACATTTGTCCACTAAGATACCAGGCAATGACCATCTCCAACAAGAGAAAATCTAACCAACTTCCCTAATTACCATCACGGAAACGTCTAGCGAGGACAGTCTTTGGCCAAAATCAACCAGAAAGGAGAGAAGTAATGTTGGAATGAGATAAACAAGGAACCAATCACAGGCCACAAGTACAGGTCAGAGGGAGGCTGGCAGTTCCGTGGTGAGCCCGTCTAGACATTAAGAGCAGTGTAAGCCAGTCTAAATGGTGAATGTACAGAATCAATCTACTCACTGGGGCAGAACTAACCCAGATTGCGATGCAGAAGGGTCAGCCTAGACTTTGATGCAGAAAGACCAAACTAGACAGTGAGGCAGCAGAGTCAGTCCAGACAGTGAAGCAGAGCCAATCTCGACACGAGGAAGAGTCAATCCTGCTTGTTCTCCATCTACAAGACAAAAATTAAGAGTATGATGGAATACTTTGTACTTACCTGGATAGGTGCAACTCCAACAATGCTAAGAAGATCAGCACCTTTGTTATGCTCCTGGCTCAAGGTAATACTAGACAAGTCAGATCCCAGAGTGAACCCTGACTTGGTAGATTAATCCCCAATAATATATTATGCAGTTCATCACTAACAAGCTGTTATGGACTGAGTGAAAAGTACTGTTCTTTAAAGTTTTCACTGGTATTTCCCACCTTAACAGCCCTGTAGGTGTACCTACCTACAGCAGCACATGGTCTGCAGTAGATCGACCAGGCAGCTCCAAATGACCAAGGAAATAAAAGACAAAATTGTCTATTGCAGATAGTTGTTGCAGGGATAAATGTTGAGCAAGTCATCAGGAAACATCACTTAGCTCTTGTTTGAATAGTTTGTGAGGAAGAAAGCTGGACTTCTGTTCAAGATCTGATCTGAAAACAGATCTCTAAAACCTCCTGAGAGTGTAGCATACCCTCAGTGCTGCACTGGGAAAGTCTCTGAAGTATGGCTTTAATCCACAAACTTTCAAACCTAGAGGCTGAATACTGCCTCTCAGCATTGGCTGACACCTAGATTCCTCCCTTAGATTGAGGAGGTTGTTGAGATCAGATGAGGCTGCAGCAATCCTGTCCTGTGTGTTGGTTCCTTTCCTTTACTCAAGCCTGGGATGAGGGCATTGCTGGCAAGACCAGCAGTTCTGTTTGCAATAACACCTCCGATCTGTTTAACTTTCAAACTCAGTGCACGGTCCTCAACTGCATTCTTCTGTAAGTTGAGTGGATCTGTTCCTTGTAGTCCCTTCCATTATAATTAAAACATCAGCTATTTTTTAACAGTGAAACAAAATCAGTGAAAGATAAAATCATCAGTAAACCCAAAAATATGACCAGATGCCTTCTTTCAAATAAAAGGTAAATTGGATGAAACTTTGTTCATGGGATGTGGTCATTGCTGGCAGTCATTACTCTATCGTCCAGAGGGTGGGAGCACTGAGGTTGTGATTGGTACCTTTTTTAAATTGGTCAAAGAATAGGATTCTAGTTTGGTCTCTAGACAGGTAAGTGGGTGTGTTACAATCAGGAGAAGAATGTACCCCTGACACATCATAGTCAATTTCCTTCCCTGTTCTCAACACCTGGGTTTCTAGATGAAAAAATGTTACGAGAGAGTTGGTCCCCAGGAGCCATCTTCCCTGGAGAAGATTAGGAAGGGGAGAAAATCAAGCAGGTGAAGGAACAAATTGCTGAGATAGGGCCTGAATCTCAGAACATGGTGCCCACAGAGGCTGAGCCAGTGATGTGTGCATCAGGGGAAGCATAATCATTAATAATGGTTATTAATAGTGTGGTGTAGTCCCTTCAGCACAGATGTGGGTGCAATGAATTCACCCCAGTGTTTTGTAAGTAATTAAACTCCATAAGTTCATTTTGCCATTTCTTCTACTGTCACAGTAGATGGACATTACTGATTCGGCCAGTATTTAGTGCTACTCCCTAACTGAATGTTTTGAAGATCATTTCAGAGAGGCACTTGTGAGTCAATCATATCGATGAGTATCTGGAATCGTATGTCGGCAAGGATAGCAGATAGACTTTCCTAAAGGATATTTGTGAACCAGACAGGGTGTTACAACAATCAATGTTAACTTTAATAGTTACTGTTACTGAAATTTAGCTTTCAATTCCAGATTATTACTGAATTCAAATTGCCCTGCCCAAGGTGGGATTTGGACACGTGTCCAACAGCCTCAAGTAACAGTAATCTAGTGTTACTAATCTAGATTAGTAACATTACTGTGACACCACTCTATCCCTGAGGGGTAGATCCTACCAGAATGGAAGCACTCTAAGTGAAATAAATGTTACAACACATGGCATGTAAGACATTGCTCCAAAACATGAGCGAGTAATCTCAAATCAAAACAACATGCATTTTTGTAGCACCTTTAAAATTGTAAATCACCCTAAAACCCGTCACCGGTGCATCACCAGACTAAATTTGAAACTAATGTAACCTTCTGTTTTCTGATTTTGTATTTTTCTTGTGCCTGTTTAGCCATACCAATTCCACACTGCTCTGTAAAAGTGTTGCATTTTATTTTACCCAAGAGCCCATGCTGAACTGCCCAAGAGAAGGTGAAAGTGAAAGCCAGCTTCTTGAATACAATTGAGTTGATTGCTGAGCCATTTCAGGGTGGATGTTAAAAATCAACCACATTGCAGTGAGGCTGGAATCACATATAGGTCAGATGATGGTCAAAACCAGATTGGTTTTTACAACCCAGTAGCTTCACATTTAAGATTACAACAACTAACACTTAGATAAAAGATTCCAGGTATTTAATTAAAGAATTGAAGTTCTGCAGCAGCGCCTTTAGGGAGAGGTGATCATCCAGTGTTTTTATTGCTATACTTTTAACTCAGAGACCTGATATTGTTCTGGGCACCTGGGTTTGAATCCTGTCACAGCAGATGTTGGAATTTGAATTCAATAAATATCTGGAATTAGGAGTCTAACAATGACCAAGAAAATCATTGCCAATTGTTGGGGGAAAAACCCTCCTGGTTCACTAATTCCCTTTTAGGGAAGGAAATTGTCATCCTTACCTAGTCTGGCCTATATGTGACTCCAGACCCACAGCAATCTGGGTAACACTTAACTACCCTCTGGGCAATTAGGGATGGGTAATAAGTACCGGCCTAGCCAGTAACACCCACATACTGTAAATGAATTAAGAAAAAGCAACCAGCTGGGGATTTGAACTCATGTCAGTATGTTACTACCTTAGGCCTCTAGATTACCCCTTCCAGTGACGTGACCTACTATGCCCGTGCCCCTGCGGTTTTCACACTGCCCTGTGTGTCATCAAAGGGTCCAAACACTAGGAAACATTAAACCTGACCCTTTCTTGCCTTCTAGATTGTGCACAGTCTTCCTAAAACCCGCTCAGGAAAGATAATGCGTCGAGTCCTGAGGAAGATTGCGGAAAATAAAATCGACGAGCTTGGTGATCTTACTACCCTGGACGATCACACAGCTGTGCAGGAAATTATTGACGGGCATAAACAGATCCTGAAGAAAGAAGCTAAAAATTAACTGGGAGACATCATGCTGGGGATTTTAAATGCGCACCAGTTTTATTTTTTGTAAAATTATATTCATGCAACATATTACGACCAAAACCAACTCATTCCTGTCAGCTCTCAGTGCTAGGATGTGTAATCTTGAGCCCAGGAAAGAGCTCTGTTTCTTCATATAATGCCCCTGCAATTGAACAACCCAACAGTGCTCTTCTGCATCACAGTTCACAGGGATATGGCAGCCACTCTGTGGCAGGAATTATGCTATTCAACACTCAAGAACTAGAGGAAAGAGAGTGGAACAAACTGGGGGAAATGTGCAAAGGCTGATGCTTTGGGACTGTGAATGGCTGAGGTTCACAGCTAACATTGACAATACATTGTGCCCAGGTAGGGAGGAGAACCATGATCCACCCTGACCATTTTGACAGCATCTGCTAAGTAATTCTGTCCAAACTGCAGATATGCTGCTTCATCTTTGGAAGATATAGGGAGGATCAGCGGCTAGATTTTTGAAGTGGCGCCTCATTTGGACTTTGAGAGAAAGTGACTTCAGTGCTCCTCTGTAGTCACAACATGACCCCTCCACCCAAAGTTCTATTTTTTCAAACCCATTTGTTTTTGAACAAGTGAAATTAAAGGAACTGTGTGCCATGATTAAAACTCAGGTACACTCCACAGAGGGCAGAGAACATCTTAAAACTGCAATAGGTCAGGTTCTGATAGTTAGACCCTACTCGGGTTAATTTGATATGTACAAAGTCCAAGAATGCAGGAATGTTTTTTCCAAAAGCAGATCATCATGAAGTGTGTATGTAATGATTAGAACCAATGAAAATTTGCAGGCTAAGTATTGCCGTGGTTGCCTCAGTGACCTCTGGACTCATCATTAAGCACACAACTCCTTGACCTGTGGCCAAAACAATTAATCCATTACAACATTTTTACAGGAAGCAAATCTCAAACGTCTCCTTGAATATTTGTGAAGCATAACTTCTACTGTAGGTAGAACATGATGCACTTAAACTGGCTTTTATTTTGGACATTTGTTTTCAGCTTCATCGACAAAGCTTTCTCTGGAGCAAACCATGGAATCAGGGGTCAGGGGGTGGGGACTACAGTTCAAGTCACTCTAGCCCAAGAAAGTAACTTTGTACAAACATTCCTGTTTCCAGCAGCTCATTATACATGGTACTCCTGGGATTTTCTAATGTGGTCTCACCTCAACTGTACTGTTGCAGATTGGAGCAGCCGCTCCCATCTCCCCTGAATTTGAGCAGACTAAATATGAGCTTCACAAGGAGTCATGGGTATTGTGGGAGGTACAGGAGGAAATAGGGAGTCAGGTAAATGTGGTTGAGATTACAATTGGATGAACCATAATCTTGGTGTACAGCAGAATGGGCTTGAAGGGCCAAATGGCCTACTTTTACTTCCAAATCCCACGTTCCTTCCCCCCTGCCAGATTTTCCTACATGTGAAACCAATTTAACCAAGACTGCCTTGCTTTAAATTAATTGCCTTTTTATGTCAACTTTTTGTAAATGCATAAAAAATATTTTCAAAGAAACACAGAACACGATTGATAGTTGTGATTTT